GAAGGACTCCGGCGCTGCGCGCCCATCCACCGGAGTGTCCCTCCCAGAGCAGCCCGCAAGGCGGATATGTTTAGCAGGTGACTTTATTCACTGCTTCTCCAGTCCGCAAGGTCCCGAGACTCATTTTCCTCCTGAAGATTAAGATCATTGCTCGCGAAATGAACTAAATGCTTTAGGGTAGAGGTGAGTGTGCCTGCAAGTGGGCAGGGGTAGGAATTACCGACCCGATCGATGGGAGACTGGCTTAAAACTAAATCCCTTTTCTCCAGGGCTTCACAACCCGGATTTCCCCGCAGTGGGCAGAGCGCGCGAGGGCCAGGCAGGAGGCAGCGCACGGAGGAACGACCTCCGAACGCTGCCAGCCAGAATCAAGGCCCTAAAAATGCCGCCTCCCAACTCCCCACCGAGACCCCCCGGGTAACCATTTTCAAGGCAAAAACTCTTTAAAGCTCAAATGTTGGCGAACTGATTGCTCAATGTGTTGTTTGTTTTTCCTTTCAGCTCCGCCTTGGGAGAAAATGTTTCAGACGCGTTGGCGGGCAAGTCGGGCCTAGGGCGAAACCTCTTTCCCGCCCTCTCCATCAGCCGCCCCCCTCAGGACCCTTGTCCCACCACCCCATTCTTGTTCTTCCCCTCCGCACTCTTTCATGTGACCTGGATTCCCAGCAAAGTGGCCACTGTAAGTGTGCTACAGGCCGCCTCACAGTCAGTAGGTACACGGTGGTACGAGCCAGGGGAGTGAGACAGGGAAAGATGCCCCAATCAGGCAGTGCACCCCACTACTCAATCACGCGGCGTCCAAGGGCCTACCGCGAAGCTTTGCATCATCAACAAGTCCTCTTTTTACTGCCACCACAAGGGCCGAGGGCCTGCAGGGATCTGAAAGGCAGAGGAAAAGTTTGCAGAGGCTTTTAAGCTATCCCTAGGAGCTCCTGATTAAGGCATCGGGATGCTGCCCACGACTCACCCCCTGTGGCTCCCGAGCGCAGGAAGCCACACCCGGTGGGTGCGCTGCCGTAGCTGCCGCGGGGTGTGACTGAGTCCATCTGCACAGCACCCTGAGTGGTACGAAGGAAGGGGGCCCAAAGTCCCCCAGGACGAGGTTGTCTGCAACTTTTTTGTTCTGCCCTGGCGTTGCCCAGTCCCCAGAGATGAAATAGGCAGCCCCTTAGACCTGACTGTCACGATTGGGGTGGGGAAAGATAGGAGGCTAATCAAGGCACCTGAGCTACCTCCAAGGTGCTCTGGACTGTTGGCCAGGAATCTGCCTGCCCAACGTGCTCAGTCCAGGCTGGGATCCCGCGCACAACAGGACACAGAAACAGTGGCTTCCGGACACGAGCTCGGCGCAGCCGCCGCCGCGTTCCCGGGAATTTTCTCTTGGGACACGGAGCCCAGCCCAGCCCTAGGCTACCGGCATCTCCCCCACGACTCGCGGCACGCAGGCTTGGGGGGCGCTGCACACAGCAAAGAATCCCCAGCGCAAAGTCTGCGCGCCGTGTAAAGGACGGGCTGGTCTTGGAGGGGAGGCTTATGTATTTGAGAATCTTTCAACTTCGCTGTGAAGTTTTCTGGTTCACGCCTCTGCCCTGGGGTCAGAGCCCCCCTCACCGCCACTTTTTCCCCTCCTCCTCCCCACCCCCGCGAGCCCAACGAGCCGAAGCGGTGCCTGGGTCCGGCCTCCCACTCTCTGGCCCGGACCCAGACCCTCGTGTCCTTGCCGCTGCCCTGTCCTCCCTGGGCTCCCCCGGCTCCGCTGGGGGCGCGCTCTCCCCAGGGCGAAACTCGCCCGCCGGACTCACTGCAAGGAGACACCCGCTGCCTTCCGAGGAACTCCTAATACCATCCATACAGCTTTAATGCGTTTATAATTCGATAAGTGATTTCAATTTGAAATTGTTAGTAACTAATTTTATGGGTAATTTTTCCACATCAAATATTTAAGCATTAGATTAAGGGAGCCAGTTCCGACACAGGATAATAAGGGGTTTTCCCCCACCCACTCCCGCGCCTCCGCCTCCCTCCGTTTCCTACCGAGTAGTTTTTCCAAATCCCCAAAAGATGGCAGTCGAAGCCGACATTCCTCTTTTCCTGGTAGCTCTGCGAAGGGAGGGGGAGATCGGGGGGAAAGGAAGAGAGACAGAGCGGGAGAAAGAATCTAGAGACTCCTAGAGAGGCATGAACAGGGGAGGGAGAAACTAAACGACGTTGCAAGGACTTTTCAAACTAATTCTTTCACACGTTTCCGTAACAAGAAGCAGTGGTGAATTTCCTGGAAATGTCCTGGCAGGAAAGAAAGCCAAAACACATGCCTCGTGAGCTCAGGGTAGGGGGATGTGAGAAACTCAGCACATTCAACTAAATCCTCAATTCATAACAGAAGAGGGAGAGGGGAGACCAGGAAAGGGACAAACTGGCTTTTTTGATATTATATACAAATATACTGTATTTTTAACATTATATACAAATATACAACACTACGCAATTAAATAACTTGTTCCTTCGAGGACAGGACTCTGCAAATTATATAGTGTGTGTGGGGGGGTTTGGCGAACCAATGATGGGTGGGGGGTCAGCCTGCAGTGGGTGGAGGAGAGGCTAGGGCTAGCAGTGGATGAATTGCACACCAGTTGCCAAAACTTTTTTTTTTTTTTTTTTGCTGCTGCTGCTGTTGCGGCTGCCTTTGCTGCTGCTTTTGCTTTGAATGTGGGTAACTAGGAAACAGCAAGCCGTCTGAGAAGACGGAATTTCCAACGTGTAAAATGTTCTTAACGGAACCATTGAGCGAGTGCAATAAGGCGTGAGGGGGAACTAATCTTCCCATTTAAATGTTTGTGGCAATTTTATCTAAATGAATTTTAATGCTAAACGAGGGTAATTCCCCATTTGTAGCGCGTTTACTTCTCTTTCCTGTGCTTCTAAAGCAGTCAAACATCATGCACTGAACAATAACAATAAAAATACTGTCGAGGCATATTATTCATTTTGAACGTGTTATAATTACAGCTGATTAAATATGATAGGGTAAAATATTTTTGAATTTTAAAAATTAAATCATGCCAAAAAGGTGCCTCATTCAGGCAGCGCCCCTCCCTCCCCAAATAAAAATAAAAAGCAGGTACAATGATGTGCCCTTGTTTGGAGGAGGGCGTTTTGTTTTTGCTTTTTAAGAAACATAAAAACACTCTCAGCTTCTTTATTATGTCCTTCTTTCTGATAAGTGTCCTCAATAACCTCAGAGCTGGCTCTGAAATTTACAAGAGCAAAAGCTAAGATAGTATAAAGGAGGTGGGGGGAGACCACGAATGGGCTTGCCACGAGTAAGGCTCTCACAGTACAGTGGAACAGGGGAAGCACTTTGTTTTCTTTTTCTTTTGACTTAATATTAACGATCTCGATTCTTCGTCTTCTCCACATTCCTTAACTCCTCTTCACTCGTACCTTTCTCCTTCCCCTAGCCAGTAGTGCTCTTTCTCTCCTTCCTCCGCCCTTTTCCTTCCCTCCCCCACCAGGCTGGAGCCTCCACTAGAAGAAAGGCTGAAAAAAACCAACTCAGCCTGCCAAGTACTAGAGGAGGAGGGGCAGATGGATGGTTGGTTTATAAAGTTTATTATTAATTTTAAAAGTAAATAAAGGGTTGTTAACTGCTAGTAACCACCTATCAAAAGAGAATGGTTTCACTAATATGGACTATTTATGTAGAAGAATTGCCGCTGGGTCAAAATGAGAAATTTAAACAACCTTGTACAGGGGGTGGGGGTGGGGTGGGTTGGAGGTGGGGTGGGAGGGCCCTCACCGTGCAAGCTGCTAAAGGTTGAGCCTCGCTTTCCTTCTACACATCCACGTGTTTAGAAACAAGGCCCCATAAACAAAAGGTGAGAGTGCGCAATGCTGCTCCAGCAGGTGAGTCAGTCAATCACACGTCACCTAGTAAACCCAACCAACAGCTGGTTTCCCTTTTCAAATAGAAAATAGAGTTGCTGGGGGAGGAGGTTATAGGGTGAAGTGGGTCTGAATCTCAGACTTGAATTTAAGGCGCTCTTCTCTGACCCATCCTTTGTTTACAAAGCAATCACTGCTAAAAGGCTTATTTAAAAAAAAAGAAAAAAATTGCCTTAATTAAAATATTTGTATATTTTCCTTAGCTTCACGAAGCACTTTTTATAGCAGCAATTTTATTTAAATAAAATTATAAGCTATTCCAGCTTAAACATGTTATTTTGTACCATTTAGCTGGCTGCCATGCAGAAATTCTGTACAGCTGTTCTGGAAAATTGGTTAATAACCAGTTTTTATCCAATGAGAACATAGAGCATATTTATAAAAATTAGATTTTGAAGTCTGGTCTCTTCAGCCCGCATAGTTAATTTCCTAATAAACATATACTGCTCATCCTAGGTAGCATCTTTAGTAAAAGCCTTAGCTCTGTACTTACATTCATCATTATGTGCAAGAATAATCTCACTGATATTAGATGAGTAATTCTGTTGGATGTCATGAGTTTACAGTTAGTTTAGTGCCCTTAGGCCTTACATTTGCTAACAGTAAGAGTTCATTAAGTCAGCTTAAAGAAATCAGTGATTATTATTAAATAATTTACTTTGTGGTTAAATTTTTCAAATATATATATCTTGGGGAGCTAAAATTAATTTTTAGATTTACTGCATTCATCAAAAAGTTTTTTGGGGCAGTAAACAAATTTTTCAAGCAGTGGAGTCAGCATGACAAAAATAATCTTGTTTTTATTTTAGAATCAGATTTCATTACTGCACTCAAACGACTACAACTGGGATTGGCGTTATTATACAATCCAAACTGTTTCCGTCAGAAACGCTAAGACTCAGTGTGCGATGATTGTTATTAATAATTAGCTCCTTGGTTTCTTGATAGAAAAAGGCTATCAACAAGCATTTGTTTATCCACAACAAAAAGTATAATTAGCTTATCCCACTTAGTAAATCTTGTATGCATGCCAACTCATACCAAACTGCTACTTTTACAAAAAAAATTGCAATAATACAGTTCA